GGGCCCGTCCCCTGCCGCTGGTCCCCGCGCGGGCGACGGCTCCAGTTACAGCATCCTGCGCTGCCCATGGCTATTTTTACCTGCCGGCTATTTTCTACCTGCCCAAGAAGGAAGCTGCAGTGAGACAACCTGCCCAGACCCCGGGCCTGCTCCCTGCCCTGCCTCCGTGTGACCAATCCCCCGGAGGTGGGGAATGGCCCTGGGCTCCCTACGTCCTGTCCCCGTGCCGAGCGCCGCTCCTGCCGCAGCCGGGCTGCACTAGGGAGCCACGTGACGCGGGAATGCAGCAAGAAAATCCCAGTGTCCTTAAATAACTCAGGCAGCTCTGCCGGAGCTGCGGGCAGGGCCGTCTCCAGGCTCTCGGTGAGGGAGAGAGGCTGGAAAGGGCGGATTTGATGGGGATGAAGCCTCCGGGCGCCAGCGCTTGAGCATCCCAGGAGAGGGGTGGGCACGGGCTGGTCCCACAGGGTGCTCCGAGGGGTGACGGGAACGGCCCCTGCAACAGGCAGGGAGGAAGATGCAATTTGCTGTTTTGGGGTGCTCGCAGGTACCATGGAGGGCTGCACAAGTCCAGCTGTGCTGGAGAAAAGAGGTCTCTGGCTCCAAAATGAGAAACAGAATGGGAAAATAAGCCGGCACAGCCGTTAGACCTGTTATCTGGGCACCCAGTTGGGCTTCCAGAGGGAGATCTGTGAGCAGAACAGGGCAGCAGAAGCGACTGGGGTGTCTGCACCCAGCCCCACGGAGCAGGGCTGGAAACAGCAATGCAGAGCACCCCGACCAGGCTCACGGTGCGGGAGTGCAGGGAAGGGAGCAGAAACGGGCAGCAGCCGTGAAGACAGGCGGGATCTTAGTATTTCCTCCCCAGAGACAAGGCACACCAATTAGAGACAATTTCTTCTCTCCACCGTATGGTCTTATTTTTAATTCTTCTTGCCCAACTTCACTGGCATTTAAGAAACCGGTTGTTGAAATAAAACCAGTGATGACAACCAAGAGCCCGGCTGCAGCGCGGGCAGCTGTGCCGCATCCTGGAAAGAGGCTCCGTTTATCCCTGGGTATTTTGTTGGAGCGGGCTCGATTGCTCAAGGCTGCGCTGAGCCATGAGCACAGATTTATCCAGGTCAGCAGCGGGGCCTCCTTGCTCACAGCGAAGCCTCGGGAGGGCTTTGCCAGCGGCTCCAGGGACACCTGGGCACGTGCGGACGCTGTGAGGGAGCTGAGGCCAGAGCAGGATGCCGAGCAGGGGCCGGCACGGCGACGCAGCCCGGCGGGCAGCACGTCCACACAAGGGTCCCTCATCACACCGGGATGCGGTGAAGGGGATGGGGATGCGAGCTCTGGAAGTGCCCGGGCTTGGAGGCTGGAAGAGACGCACCTTGGCCCAGCTTCTCCTTCGAGGCCTCCTTGTCACCACCTTGACCAAAGCGCCGCTCGGGGCACTGCAGGGTGAGAAGTTTAAGGCTGCCGGGTTTTGTAGGTCAAGTGACTGCTGGAAGGCTCTGGAGGGGTCTATGGGATCAAAGAGGAGGGGGACGGTCTGGTCTCCAGGTTCCCTGTGGGATCTCTGGAGCTGGGAAGGTTCCCAGAAAGTGCAGAGAAGTCCAGGTTCAGCACTGCCTGCTCCTGCTCGGGTCCAAGGTGGCACCCGAAAGGAAGCACTGCCAAATGGATGCTGCCAAGTCACCCCTGTGCTGCCCATGGGCATGGAGGGCTCCTTCTCACGCAGGCCACGGCGGGCAGCGCTGCTCCCCTTGGCACAGAGCAGAGCCGGGTTCTCCGGCAGATCTGTGAGTCAGTTCCCAGCACCGAACGGCTCCCGGAGCCGTGGTTGGCACCACGCTGTGCTGCTCTCTCGTGGCAGCTGACAAGAGGAAGGCTAAAGCTAAAAAAGACAGGCTTGCAAGGAAGAACAGCGTGAGGAGAGCACTCAAGGCTACAGTTGTAGGCTAGGTGATGAAGAGGTCTGGATTTATTCCGTCACACACCGAGACGCTGGCATATGGAATCGAGGAGATCCTGGCATCTGCTCATGCTTCAGAGCACTTGAGCTACTTCTTCTCAAGGAAGCTAGGAGCAGCAAAGCATCATCCTGCCCTGGCAAGCAGAAGGATGGGGATGGCAGCTCTGAGGATCTCCAGTGAGTTCAGCTCGCGGTGAGGATGTGCAGAGAACAGGAACTCCAGCTCAAAGAGACGAGGAATTTGCCCGGACCAGCAATTTCCACTAGTCTCTCTTTGTGACTGCATCATGCAAAGCAAATGCCAACACACGCCGGGCAACAGATCACAAGTATCCTGTGGGCAAGATGTCCCTAGGGAGCTGCCTGGCAGGGCAGAGCAGGTACCTCGCCGGCCCCAGCACCAGCAGCTTGTGAGGGCGCCGCGGCAGCACGCGAGGCCCGGAGCATCGTCACAGGGCTGCACGTCCAAAGGGCAGCTCGGAGGGTCCTTTCGAGCCCTGCGCTCCACCCGAGCAGCAAATGAACCTGGACTGACATGGAATGGACATCGGGACAGCCGGCTTGGGGTTAATTTTACAGATATAGGAATGCACAGAAGGAAACATCTGAGATATGGCATGCCTGACTCCATAAATAATGTAGCTTCTCCTGAGTATTTCTGGAGCAGTCAGCAGAGCCAGCCACCACAGGAATAAACCTCTTGAATCCTTTTGCACTGGGAGGGATATTCAACTCCCAAGTCTACAGGTTAACTTGAGATGAGTCTGCTTCAGTTTAGGTTTTGCATCCAGCTCTTCCTGAGCCATGTGGTTCCTCATTGCCCCAGGACAACCAGCCATAGCCCTAGCAAAGAAGTGGAGTCATCCCAAAACTCTTTGAACTTGCTGGCACACTAAAGAGCTCACGTTTCCATACCTCAGCTCTGGCCCATTGAGCTGATTTCCATTAAATGCACCTCAGAACATAAATCTGTCTTAAAAAAAATCAACTCATTAAGAAGACAGACAGTGTCTAGAGTCTGAAAGGAACAGCAAATGGCAGCTGCCAAAAACGTCAGTGTTAAATGCAGCTGCCAGCTGGTATTTATTAAAAGTTAGTTAGACAGCAGTAGTGAACGGCACATCTTGTACTTGGATAATCTTCTCTTCCTCTCCCACCTTCGCAAAGAGCCACTGTGGCTCTGATGCATCAGGTCTCACTGTGACCTCCAGGACTGGTGGCTGCAGTGTTCTGCCTTTTGCTCACAGCCAGGCTCTCCAGAATAGTTCATTTATTGCCCTTTATCTAGAGAAGACAGAACCAAAGAAAGCTGGTTTTGGCTAAAGAGGTGTCCAGCACCACCTTTCTCTGTGCGGCCCTCGTTTCTGTCCATGCTAGGAGGCACCAGGTCCTATCCAGAACAACAGCAGCAGACTCAGCTACGCGAACACAAGTTGGTAACTTGTTTCTTCTCTTGTTTCTACAGAAAATCAGGGCTGTCTTCCATATGTGAATACCCAATGTTGAAATAGAAGGATGGAACATATGGGGAAGAGGGGAAATGGACAAATATCGCATTTATTTGCTCAAGAAGCAAGGCGCATTCAGCAGGGACTGTGGCATCCCATGTCCTACACCTAGCAAGAAGATGGAGCAACTCTCCAGAACAGACACAGGTGACTTTCTACAGCTCCTCTTTGCAGAGCTCTCTGCTTGTGTCTCCCATGCCTTTCCTTACCAGGATGGTGAAAGGTCTGGCCCCATCTTGGCCCCATGTGCAATGACCCAGTGCCACCACCCACCCCACAGGATTTCCCACTGATACCCACCTCTTTAAGACTGATGTTTGCAGTGTAGACCACGTTCGTCCCATCTCTCTTGAAGTGTGAGTGAGGCTTGTCCTTGAGGATGAAGACGATGTCAGCAGGGATGTTGTCCGGGGTGGCATCCCCTTCTTTGGGGAACGTGATTTTTGTTCCCTCCTTCCACCCCCTTTTGATGACAATGTTTAGGATCTTATCCTCTGTCCGCATGGTCCGGCCATCGGCGTTGAGCCTCCTGCGGGTGATCTTCATCCTCTTGGTGGAGCCATGGTAGATCTCTTCCAGGGACACCTTGAGCTCATGGATGACGGGTGGGTCTTGGACCTTCCTTCGTGTGTGCAGGGATTCCTGGTGTCGCCGGTGAACCCCATTAATGCCATTGAAACCAAACCGGCCAAAGGCACCGAAAGGGTCATCGTCGTCATCAATGTCCATATCTTCCTGGTCAAAGCCGTTGAACATTCGGGAGCGGCTACTAGCGAAGAAGATATCGAAAGGGTTGGAGCCTCCAAAGAAGGATGCGAAGGTGGCGTGGGGGTCTCCATGGAAGGTGTAGTGGAAAGTGTTCCCTGAGCCACCTGAGGAGCCACCTCCTGTTTTGAGACCTAGAGGAGAACAGGGAAGACAAGACATTAAGTCTCCCTGCTGAAAGCTGCCTGGCTCTGCACGGTGGATACAAGGCTGTGCTGAACCCATGGCACCCGTGCTTCCAGGTGGGAGTGGGGTTGGGAAGATGATGTCCACTGGCTCCATCTTAAAAGCTGTCTGCGTTTTGTTCTGCTACTTGAAGACCTGTTTGGTTCTCTCTGTTTAAGTTACAGCCTTTTCATTTAAAATGTCTTTGGACACTCTCCATTTCCATTCTTGCCCATGGGCAAGCTTCCTTCTGGGCCAAAAGGCTCTATCCCTCTAAATGTGTCTTCCTTGTCTAAGCAAGCCAATCTCTTCCAGTCTCATTCCACAGCCTCGTCTCCTCTGAACATACCAGCAACAGCTCTATCCAAGCATCTTCTCCTTGGAGGAAACGGTACGGCTGAGAAAACTGTCAGTGATCTGGCCCTGGGAGGTGAGCACAAGAACTAGCTGCCTCAGGAACAGGCCTGATTGCAGGCTCTTGCTTCCTGGTAACGAGGATTTAAGCCTATTCAGAGAAATCCTGCACATTACTGGGGGTGAAGGATCCCACCAGACTTTTATGAGCCACTCCAAGCTGCACATAGAGCTGAGGCACTGCAGTCAGTGTATCAGGTCTTCGACCAGTTATTGCTGCCCAAAGCCCACCTGTGGGTGAGCTCCCTGCTCTTGCCTGTTGCCCAAGGTGCCAGGGCTGCACGGGTAGTCACGGGCTAAGAGCAGCACATCTAACACGTTAGAAAAAGCCCTGAGCTCAGTAAGCCACTGTGCGGGGAGGACTTTTGTTGCTAAAGCACATGGAGGTCAGCAGACCTGCCCTAGCTAATCCCCCTCGCAGCGAGGTGCGCGGGAGGGAAACAGCTCCCTGTGCACTAGATCAAAAACTCTGACCTGAGGTGCTGGCAGTGATTTGCAAACGGAGTGAAGGTTTGACATCCTGATAGCACTCTCAGAGCCCTGCTACATCTGCTGGAGAGGAGAGCCCTTTTGCCTGGCAGGGTTTGGAGGCAGAGTTTAAACACACGCATGTGCTGTCCTCCCCTCTGCAGGACGGGGTCTTGGGTTCAGCCACTGCCACTGGAGTGGAAATCCAACAAACAGCAGTGTTTTTCCCAGCTCTAAGGGACACTTTATAAAACGCCAAATGGCAGCTATTCCCATGGAAATCTGGATGGATCCTCAGCAGAGCCCTACATCACTGTCCACTCCATAAAGTCCCAGGCAGCTGATGCACAAGACAAACAGCCCCCAAGTCACAGTTGTGGTCCCCCTGAAGAGGGACCACAGAGGAAGGCAGCAGAACACAGCGGGTGGTGGGCAGATGGTCTGTGGCCATATACTCTGCAACACTATTTGTCACTAGGAGGGTCAGGGAAGAGTTAAAGCAAGCCTAGCTCAAGGACTATTTTGGGGGCAGCCCAGTGACTGTAAAGGGCTATTTCTGAAGGGCTGTCCCTTGTGCCAGGCCCCTACACTCCAAGCCAGCAGCAGGAGATAAGAGGGGGACAACACAGAGCAGACAAATTTGCTGCTCTTTTCTGCTCTCCTTTATTGAAGATCTTGTGGGGCAGAGGGCCTCTGCTTCACTGCTCTCACTCGAGCAGGGAACCTCTTTGCCTGGAGGGCTCTCAGCCTTCCTGAAAGGTGGTAGCACTTGGACAAGCTCTCAGGAGGCCTGCAGTGCCCTGTCCCTATGCTCCTGCCCCACCGGGCACCCGTGTGTGCTCTTGTGGAGCCTGTGACACGTGCTAGGGGAAGGTCTGGGCTGTTCAGAGCCACAGCAGCCCTGGCGAGGAGGCGGCTGGGCCAAGCAGCTTGGCTGACAGCAAAGGGGACGTTGGAGACAGGCTGGTGCCCCAAGGCTGGGGAGATGCGGAGGGTGACAACAGCTCTGCCATGCCCCTCACCACCCAGCTGCACAGGCCCCATTCTGGGAGCTTTGCCCTGCTCAGCTTGGTTCCCTCGTTGGATCTGGGCCACGGGGCTAGAGCAGCAAAGCCCACAGGGCCCAGCTGGCTCAGGTCAGTGTGTGGGACCCAGAGGTCCCTTGAAACACTAACCATCAGGCCACATCACTCCAAAAAAGAGGAGCTGGTTGGAAAACAAAAATGTGTGTGGGCCTTTTACAGGAGGAAGTGACTGGTGCGGAAGTCACCATCCAGGATCCAACCTCTGTGACGGGTGACAGGCTGTGACCCGTCCCGTGACAGGTCTGGGATCAGCTTGTCAGCATCTCCAGGGCCCTCCCTCCAGCCATGAAGCCTTCCAGGTCTTTCATCTCCCTGTGGCCCAGACTCGACGCTTCGTGCTTCTGTGTGGGCTCTGCGGGCACAGCAAGCTCAGCCCCATGACCGCCTGCTCGTGAGGCTGTAATTAGGGAGAAGCTCTGGTGGGGCAGGCTCACCTCTCTCCACCCCAGGGGCACACTTTGCATTGGAAGAGGAATCATGAAAGGAAGAGGCAACGTGGCTGATTATGGGACAATGAGGAAAGGCTACCAAGCAAGAAGACAGTGGCGGCGGCAACAGCAAAACATTTGCTGGATTGGTAGAGAGCATTGTGAAGAAAAGAGGAGAAAACAGTGACCCCAAACACATATGCAGAGGGAAAGGGACACAGCACTAACACTGCCCAGGACACTGCGGAGAGAGTCTGAGTAACCACCACCACATACCAAAGACACTCAAGTGCTGGTTTTGCTGGTACAGGAGGCCTGGCACAGGTGCTGTGATCTTTTAATTCAAAGCCATGTCCCTCAGGAAGGGCCAGTTTCACCCCACTCAGCCTCCCCATGCTCCAGACATTATGGAGGTGCTTTTCTGCTGTACTTTTTCCCCACTACTCAACTCACTTATTTTAGCTGCCTTCGGCAGTGGAGTTTCCACCCGTCCTCAGAGAGCCCCTGTCCATGACAGGTTGTACAGCCAGGAGGTCTCAGTTTTTAGGCAATTGCTGTTTACCTTCACTTTAATCCCGAGGCGCTAGTCAGACCAATGGGAAAGCAGGGTCCGATTTCGACAGCACCTCCAAGGAAAAGCCAGTTTCTTGCTCGAGATGGCCACGTCTAATTTTAGACAGCCACAAATGACCGTGCTTCAGCGAGCCCCTCGCAGCAGTGATATATTAACTTGCTAAGCAACTGGTATAAGGCAACAGTGACGGTGTGGATTGCCCGGCAAAGATTTTCCAAAGCTTTCCACAGCCCTGAATTTTTGCTTAGATAAGCAGGGTTCAGCAAGAAGTTTCCCCAGGTCTGCCTGTGCTTTGGCACCTAGGAGGCTGCTTTCAAACAGCACAAGGAGCCTCTGGCAACTTCTCCACAGAACTCCGCAGCTTTCCCCTTAAGTTTCTAGTTCCCCAGCAACTTGCGGGCAGTGAATATAACTACATCAGTTGGAGCAAGAGTGTCTGTATCCTCCTAAGCCTTGCACATTCACGAGGGGCAGGGTCTGTGCCTGCCAGGAGCAGGCCTGGGCTGATGAAGGTGTCTCTGAGCACTGCCTGTGCCTGCTGGTGTCTCACAGGGGAGCCACCCGCTTGCTGGGCCTGCAGGAGGGGCTGCATCTTCCACTGAGCTGCCTGTTTATATTAGACCTCCTGATCTTTTAAGCACCCAAGTCCTTGGCTGATTAATGCAGATGCTATTCACTGCTCTCCTCACCCTCAGCAAATGGGGTTGCAGACTTCCATATTCGACTAACAAGGCTGCGGGGTGGCGGAGCGGCTCTCCTCCTCCATGCCAACCGGGAGACAACAGCAGCCGCTTGGTTTCAAAACAAGAACCTATTACTTAAATTGGGAAAGGCTTTGAATCATGTAGGTCAGGCTGTACCAGAGAGAAAAGTGGGAATAGCTCACAAATGGCACCTCAGAGCATGCTAACAAGGGCCTTGCGGAGGGGAAATCAAGGCAAAAGGAAAGGTTATCTGCTAGAAAACTCAGGTCAACGAAAGTGTCGTGTGCGACCCAGGAGCTGAACTCCTTTCACTGCCGTTACCTCAGCAAGTGCTTCAGCCTTGGGAGGCAGCACTGAAGCACTCGGAGGCGCCCGATGGCTCCCGGGTGGCCTGCGCTGCCTGCCTGGGGCTACGAGTCCCTGCCGGGCGCCCGCGTCGCCTGGGGCGGCCTCGCAGAGGTGGCCGCGACCTGCCAGGAGCAGCCAGTGGAGCAGCAGGGCGAGGGGCCATCCC